TGTGTGTGTGTGTGTGTGTGTGTGTGTGTGTGTGTGTGTGTGTGTGTGTGTGTGTGTGTGTGTGTGTGTGATCGTGGGTTAAACTGTGACCACATAAAGAGGAGTCGGCCAGAAAAATGTTGTGTTTTTCAAACAACACCCAGGAAGAGCAAACACTTCTCATCTGTGAGTCGATTCTTTCACGTCTCCGGCAGATTTTCAGCCAAAACACCAGAGAATTACTTAATAACTCAATTATTATTCCTCACACTCATTATTAATATCATCATTACCACATGGGAGGAATCTTTCCGGTGCAGCTGTTCATGAAAAAAACCCTGTCGGACGAAGCAGCTGGCTGTCAAGTTTGGGCCGTTCAGAAAAAAAAATAGATTTTTTTTATTATTAATATCAGAATCATATTTAACCTCTAAACATTGTTGTCAGCAAGTTTATTTTATTGTTTTGTGATATTAATAATGCTAATATATCGATATTTTTCTAATTTTGATCTATTTTTGCTTCTGTTTAGCATCGTCACAGTTGCTAGGTGACATGACGTATGCCGGGGTAAGGAGGGGAGGTTAGACCGTCCAAATTCACAGCCTCTTTTTTTCCGGTCTTCCCGGTCTACCAAGGACCCGGCCCACCTCAACAGGGTAGTCTGGGTCCTCCGGAGGACCCGGCCTGTYGTTTTGGACACAGCCTCTGTGCTCCATGACTGATGAACAGTGGTGGGCTAACTCATAATCGCTAACTAAAGATATAGCTATATGCTACTGCTAAACCGCTAAATGTGAAAAATTTGTGGAAGCTAACACTAACAGCTAACCGCTAAAACAACTGTCTCTCAGTCGGCTTCACGTCTTCGTCTCCTTCCAGCTAAAGTCTGACTGACACAAACCTGTTGACGTTAGCTTGTTAGCTAGCTGTTATTGGACTTAAAGTTGGCAAAAATGAACAGAAGCTAATTGGTCTGCTAACAGTTTTCAAAGTGAAAAATCGAATCCGCTAAACGAAAGATTAGTTTTGCTATTAGCGGTTAGCTGATTAGCCTAGCCACCACTTATTATTATTATTATTTATTATTATTATATTATTATTATTGTTAGTAGTAGTAGTAGTAGTAGTAGTAATAGTAGTAGTAGTAGTTTCAGAGAATGTGAAAGACATTAGCTAATGTTAAACCTCTTTAGAAAAACACTGTTTAGTTTGTTAACCTAGGCTAGGCTAATGGCTAGCCTCAATAGTCTCGTGTAAATGTTTATTGTTATTAGCTAATGTAGCTCTTTCACAAAGGTTTGTTGTTTGTGAGTATGAGTTTATAACTTGTAAAAACAGGCCTTCATTTGGCTAACTGTTAGCTTAGCCTGGATGGACTTTTGCTTTTTTCTCCAAACTCTACTCCTTCACTGATCATGTACGAATTATTATTCAGAACCTCACCTCATAAATGACCAAACTGTCCCTTTAATCCCAAAGTACTCTAAATACCTCGAGATTTTAAAAATAGTTAAACTCTGAGATGTAAATGTGAAAGTATTGAAGTCAGTTTATGTTTGAAACTCTTATTGTGAAGGACTGAAACACGTTTTTTGACATTTTGACTTTAAAATGAAAACTCGGAAGTAGAAAAAGGACTTTCTCCTCGTTTCTTTTTCCTGTAGCGTCACCTGGGCCCGGTTGGCACCCGGGCCCAGTTTGGAATCTTGCACCCTCATTACACCTCCGCCGCTCTAATTACAAGCTGCTCAGGAGCTGTTATCCTACACCTCACAGTGACAATGACTGCATCTCCTCTCAGAGGCCCGGCTGGTTTTCTGGACTGAAACCCAACGCAGCGCCGCTCGGAATAAAAGACGGTCCCGCTGGAACGGAACTTTCTGTGCAATTAAGAGCCGAGATCTTGGCAAACGTCGCAGCGAGTGGCGTTTCTGTTGTTGTGTTTTGTAGATATTCATCGGGACGTTTCGATGCGTTCAGCTGAACGATGATGAAACCAAACAGGATCCTTCCTGCCCCTCGCTCAGCTCCACACAGAAGAAATCCATTTTACCCGACAGGCGGTGAATTTGGCTCCGCTCGGGTTCCGCGGTGTCCTATCACACACACATTATTGTTTGAGATCCTGTGTTATGCTGACAAATCCTCTGGTGGCAGCAGTCACCTAAGCGTCTTCCATGAAAGGGATGTACGTTTTCCTCCACTTCTTTCAGAATTTTATTGTGTTCGTCACTAATCCAGAGATGGGCTCCTCGTGTAATACCCGCCATCTAATCATCCTTAGCACTCCGAGGGCTTGTTTAACAAGATCCTGCAGACGGTAATTGTTTTGTCAATTGGTGACAAATGGGCAAAAATAGATTCGGCAACACAAAACGGTGGGAATGTGTTGAAAAACATAAAACCCACATACGTTCTATATATTAAACTAACATTACAGAGGATGTTATGACCCAAAATAATTCAAACCTTCCTCTTTTCTTGTCTAATTTGACAAAATGCTTTGATGTTTAAACAGAAGAAGAATAAAAAAACAACAAAGTTTATGTGTTATATGTTTCTTTTGGTCTGGATGGTTCTGAACATCATGATGATGTGGTTCTATGGCACAATATGAGGACCAAAATTAAGACTTAACCGATAATGACAGACCTGCACCGTTAACTGGAAAATAAGAAGCAGACTACTCACACMCTTTATTAGACGCGTACATAAAAAAATGAAAACTTGATCAAGAAAATATGCTACGGATTATTAAGAGATTTTGTTGAAACTACGAGAATAAAGTAATTTTAGCAGAATAAAGACACAATATTATATGACTTTATTCTCGTAATTTAAAAAATCTCTAAGTCTGGACCTAATATTTCACGATACAATTTGCTTTCTTTTTTTAAAAGTGTGTATCTAATAAAGAGGATAACCAACCTAGGTATGCTAGATGCTTAAGCCAGCCTATCCATTTTAAAGCTAGCCTGTCCAAAGCTAACGCCAACTTATCCAACGCTAAAGCTAGCCTATCAAAAGCTGGCCTGTCCAATGCTAAACCCAATCTATCCAATGCTAAAGCTAGCCATTCAATCCTAACGCCAGCCTGTCTAAAGCCAGCCTAAAGCTAGCCTACGGTCACAGCCGATATTGACCACCGTCAATATCGGCGTAGGCCACTTGTGGCCGTAGGCCACTTGTGTTGGCTACATAAACAGCTGTGAAATGAAGCACAATGAATTCTGGGATACTGTCGGCCTCGAAGGCTACTCAGATGCAGCCGACATTTTTGGGGTTTTGTCGGCCGCATTTGTAGGCGGCCATGAATTGGGACAGCCTACGGTGTGGGGCAATGACGTAAGCGGCCGACAAATGCAGCCAACGTTGCTGCAACCCATGAATTGAGACACAGCCTATCAATGCTAAGGCTAGCATATCGATGGTAAATCTAGCCCATCTAAAGCTAAAGCTAGCATATCAATGATAAAGATAGCCTATCAATGCTAAATCTACTCTATCAATGCTAAAGCTAGCATATCAATAGTAAATCTAGCCTTAGTAAAGCTAGCCTATCAATGATAAAGCTAGCCTATCAATGCTAAATCTACCCTATCAATTCTAAAGCTAGCATATCAATGGTAAATCTAGCCTATCTAAAGCTAAAGCTAGCCTATCAATGATAAAGATAGCCTATCAATGCTAAATCTACCCTATCAATGCTAAATCTACCCTATCAATGCTAAAGTTAGCATATCAATGGCAAAGCTAGCACATCAATGCTAAATCTACCCTGTCAATGCTAAAGCTAGCATATCAATGGCAAAGCTAGCACATCAATGATAAATCTACCCTATCAATGCTAAATCTACCCTATCAATGCTAAAGCTAGCACATCAATGATAAATCTACCCTATCAATTCTAAAGCTAGCATATCAATGCTAAATCTATTCTATCAATGCTAAAGCTAGCATATCAATGGCAAAGCTGGCCTATCAATGCTAAAGCTAGCATATCAATGGTAAATCTAGCCTATTGAAAGCTAAAGCTAGCCTATCTGTGCTAATAGATAGCAAAGGAAGTGGGCAGTCCTGTGGGTGACCAGACTAGGCCTGCTAGCCTTTCGCACAACGCAGTCAGTTATCAGTGCCGGCCTATCATTAATGAGATCTGTAACTTCCTGCTACAAAAACATAGCCACCGCTGGGTGCACTAGTCTTTATTTTGGCCTGAGTACCACACCAAATAGTGTGTCCCTCAGGGTCTCGTCTTTGTGTTTGCAGATGATGTGGTTCTGTTGGTGTCCTGGGGTCATGACCTTCTGGAGGGTGAAGCGGTTGGGATGAGATCCGGCTCCTCCAAGTCCGAGCTTCACCTCCGACTGAAAGGTGAGGGAGTCGCTCCGGTCTGAGTAAGAGACAGGAGTGTGTGTGTGTGTGTGTGTGTGTGTGTGTGTGTGTGTGTGTGTGTTTACCATGGCGACTCT